CGCTGCCGCGGGCCGTGCCGGCAAGTGAGGGCCTCGGGACAGCAGTGCTTCCTGGTGTCCCCTCTGGGGTTGGAGACGCCCCGGGCCCAGGAGCTGCACTCAGCAACTGGCTCTGCTTCCTCAGGGACCCTCCTCCGGGAAGCCTGCCATGGTTTCCACAGCCACAGTGTCTCTAAGTCCTAGCGGTCTCCCAGGTATGAGTAATGAAGTCCACACGTCTGTGGTGGATGAGAAAGGCTTGCTGCCCCGCCCTGCAGGGGTGCCTAGCAGGTGGCATCCCTCTGCCACCGCCACCTGGCATGTGCCCACCCATTGGGGGCTGTCCTGGCACAGCTGGCCTGGTGGCTGGGGTCTGAGCTCCCGGCTGTGCTGCTGCCGCCGCCACTCGGCGGCTCACTTGTCGGCGACTCCTGTGGTCTGGTCAGTGTCCAGGGCACGGCGGGCCCCTGAGTGCCCCCCCTTCCAGGGCCGCCCTGCTGCACCCCAACCTCCCTTTCAGTCAGGCGGGTGCCAGGGAAGCGTGCGTGCTGGGTGCGGGCCTCTCGGGTGCTGCGGCCCTGCCTCTCTCATTCTCGCGGGGGGTGGGGTGTTGCTAGCTGTGGGCCCAGCGCTCAGTGGCCCAGCACTGGATCCCAGAGGAGAGGCAGGTCCCTCCCCTGCTGCCCACAAGGGGGCGGGCGTGGCCTCACCGCCGAGGCCTGTGCCTCTGCCTGCTCCCTCCAGCCGGTTGGAGGTTTTGTCACCGGATCTTGTTATAGAAACGCACCTGGGGGTGAAGTAGAGGGTAGGGTGAAGGGCGCCTGAAGGGCGAGAATATCATGTTTGGGCCGGAGAGGGTCCGGTGTCCTGGTCCTTGAGTGCTTTCCAGTCTTTATCTGTTGTAACCAAATCCTGGTTGTGAGTAAAAGATACAGGTTGGTTCCGCAGGCAGGCCCTCCCCTCCCAGCTGCCACAGACCTTCCTCGGGGAGGGGGAGGGTCGGGGAGATGCACAGAGAGCACTTGTGTGCATACCTGTATACACGTGTGCAGGCCTGTATGCACGTGTGTAGTGCGTGTCTGTGCACGTGTGTGCATGTGCAGGAGGAGCAGGACTTAGGAGGCAGCTCCCAGAGCAGGTGGAGCCAGAGCAGCCCAGAAAGGGGACGGGCAGCCCGCAGAAACAGGAGCAGGCCCGGCAGTGCAAGGGGGGTCTCGGGGGTGGAGGGTCAGGGAGAGGGAGGTGAGGTAGGGAGGGCAGGGGTGGCGCCTGGTCGGGAGCCTCGGGTGTCCCTCTCTGGGCTTTGGAGCGTGTGGGGGTGGAGTCAGGTTGGAGGAGCGGAGCCTGGGAGATGGCACTTAACATAACACTGACCCCCCCGCCCCCAACCCGTGCAGCGTCCCAGCGGTGCCTGTGTGTAAGCAGGGGAGGTGGCTGGGAGCCGGGCCACTGGTGCCAGTGCCTGGGTGGGGCTTCAGGGATGCAGCATTATTCTCACTTGTCAAAAGCACATACCAGTTAATTAGGAGAGTAGGATGGGTTTTTTTTCTAAAATTAAAATTGGGGGCTGCTGGAAACACAGGCCACACGGTGACTGTCCCAGTCAGATGCCTGTCCTGGTCAGGTGACTGAGTGAGTGCGGCCTTTGTCAGAAAGTTAGGAAAGGTCTCAGCCGCAGGCGCGAAGCGGCCAGGGTCCCAGCCGAGGGGCGGGCACCCCGCTGGCCCTGCTGCTTCTGGAGGACACTGAGTCTGTGGTGACCATGAGCACAGCAGCACCCACTGTGCCCCCTGCCCGGGCCCTGCACTCGGCTGGAGGGGGCGTGGCTCCTTCCCTGGACCTTGGGCTGGTGGTGTGGCTGCTGTGACCAGGCATGGGAGGGACACACGGGAGGG